GAGACAGAGTCTCACTTTGTTGCCCAGGCTAGAGTGAGTGCCATGGCGGCAGCCTAGCTCACAGCAACCTCACACTCCTGGGCTCAAGCGATCCTACTGCCTCAGCCTCCCGAGTAGCTGGGACTACAGGCATGTGCCACCATGCCCGGCTAATTTTTTCTGTATGTATTAGTTGGCCAATTAATTTTCTTTCTATTTATAGTAGAGACAGGGTCTCGCTCTTGTTCAGGCTGGTTTTGAACTCCTGACCTCGAGCAATCCGCCCGCCTCGGCCTCCCAGAGTGCTAGGATTACAGGCGTGAGCCACCGCGCCCGGCCGAGAATCCTAAATATTTTTATACTAAATCCTTTTCATATTGTTCTATTTTGTCTGAAGTGATTTTTCTTCTGAGTATCAACTTTCTTGGCTTCTTTATTAGCACTGGTTTTCTTCATGGGTTTTAAATTTGGGTTTTCAGGCTTGTCTTGACTGGGAGGTCCTCCCTCCATCCCTTAGCCTCATTGACCAATCTACTATTCTAGGCCTAGTGATTTTTAAAATGCCTCCACCTAGTCCCCTAGGGAGCCCAGTCTAGACTCAGATACTATGATAGGGGCTGAGAGTTTCTGCCCTTCAGTGACATTGGGAATATATCCAGTCTAGTCACTGAACCTGAAGGCAGGTGAGTTGAGGTGCTGGTCACAAGACTTCATATTGGCTATGACCCTGGAAGAAGGGGATAGCAGCATTAATTTTTTTTTAAATTTTGAAATAACCTAGACTTATAGAAAAGTTAAGTGGAGAGTTCCCATATACTTATTCTTCACCTAGCTTTCCTTAATATTAATATCTTACCCCACCAAAATACAGTTATCAAAACTAAGAAATTAACAGTATTAACTAAACTCTAGACTTTATTAGAATTTTACTAGTTTTTTTAGTCTTTCTTTTTCCATTTTATAATCCAATAAAGAATCCTATATTGAATTTAGTGATTTTCTTTGTCCATAATTTTACCTGCTTTTGTTAAGGAATATCTGTCTCTTCCCCCACATTTATTTATCCTTCGGTTGTTTACTTAGATCAATGCGGACACGTGTGTTTTTTAGTCCATGGGTTATAATCTAATACGATCACCACTGGGTAACTTCCAGCCTGATTTCACAGGGTGGCCTGACTTCCATTTCCTGCCCTACACAAGTCACTTTTATTCCCCATTTTTCCACAAGAATTTGTGGAACTCTTGACCTTCTCTGCTTCTTCCTTGATTTTAGGCCCAGGGGGCTCACTGTTTTAGTTTTAGAATAAGAGTCTAAAATCCTTAATGTAGCCTGCAAGGTACTGCATTTGGTCCCTGCCTGACTTTCTAGCTTCATTTTTCTCTCAGCTGTAAACTCCTTTTTTTCTCATAGTCTTTGCCCTGATAGTCCCTCTGCCTAGAACACTGCCCCCTCCCCTTCTTTTTGAGCTAAATCATAGTGTCGCTTTTGGTGAATCACTGCACTATTTGACACCTGAACAATCTCCAGCCTAAAATATACTTAAATCTAAAACATAAGGCTTCCAGCAGGCATGCCCGGATTTGTTAGTCTTGTAAATTAGTAAGTTTCCTTCAAGCAAGAGATACCAGCACCTAAGCTCTAGACTTGCCTTCAGCTATATATACATCATCTTCTCTAAGGAATGTGACTGACCAAATAGAAGGGAATCAGAAAAGGCAATAGCTGCTCGGAAAAAAGATGAATGTCTTAAATTTCAAGTCATTTGACTTTAAAACTGGTAGAAGAATCAAGAAAATGACAGGTGATGACAGCCAGGAAAAATAAATGAGAGGGCAGCAGAAAATTGCCAAATGAGATGTTGCCATTGGCAGTAGTAAATGCTGAGTATTTCCTTTTCCAGTGCCCCCCACAGAAAGAGATTTGTTATGTCATGGGGGGGGGAGGTTCTGAATTTCCTTCTAATGTCTGAAGGGGGTAAGTAAAGTAGATCTAGTTTTCAGACATTGATCACAATTGGAAATGGTAAATACTTTAGTCACTTTTGCTTCCGCTTGCTTTGATACCATTAGCTCCAAAATCTTGTAACTGGCAAAGGGGCCAGTCCCTTGTCAGGAGGTAGCACTGTGTTAGCCCAGCCAGTGCCTTTGACCCATCTGTTGTGGAGCCAGAGGAGAATGGAACATCCTTGCTTTGTGGGTCTTGCAATAACAAAAGGACAGCATCTGTGGTGACACAGGCCCCTGAGGCCACCCTCTCTGGCTCTGGGCCTCCAATCTCATTTTAAGTGGCAGGATCTCAACCTGCTCCCACCTGTGGTTCTGAGACTTCATGGAAGGAGTCTGGCATGGAGACTAAGGCCTGCTCTGCCTTGTGGGACCCTGGGCAGACACTCCTCTTCTCCATGTGGCACCAATGCAGGCCCCCATCCCTCTGTCACTCTCCCCATGGATGTGGCCTCAGAGTCCCCCCGAGCCATGACCAGTCAATCCCAATAGATATCATCTCCCAACTTGGACTCTAGGGCCTCTCTCAGCTCTGAGGGGCTGAGATTGTGAGGATTTGTCTGGGGGATTTCTTCAGTCCCAAGCTTTTTCTTTGAGTCTGGGAGTCTCACCCTGTACCTTCTCTTGCACCCTACAGAAATCAGGGTGAAATGGCTCATACCTGCCGTGCAACCATCAACCTGTCCACTGTGCACATTGACAAGGAGGACTCTTGTGGTATCTTGCTGGTCAGTGGAGCAAGGAGCTACCACCTCAAGGCAAGCTCAGAGGCGGAACGGCAGCAGTGGATCAACGCCCTTCTGCTGGCCAAGGCCAAGGCTGTCCGCATGATGAACACGCATTCAGGTAATGAGTACTTACCGTGGCCAGTGTACACGTGTGATGTTGTGATTCTGGAGGGAGTGGGAATTGCAAGTGGCTGGGGAGCGATGGTGGCCAGGAAACCCAGGCTAGTCTAGACCAACCCAGAAGGTCAAGGTGTGTGTGCGGCCTTCCCACTCAGCTCCGTGCATCCTCAGCAGGTAGCCGCTCAGGCATTCTGTTGAGGCAGCAGATCTTGGGGAGGATGTCTGTGGTGGACAGGGGCTGTGTGTACCTTGATTTCCGCAGACCCTCCATATGCCACAGTGGGTCAGGTCTAGAAGCAGCAGTCAAGGTAGGAGTCCAAGATCGCACACCTGTGCCTCAGGCCAGACTTTTCCCCAGTGTCCCCCTGACAGAGACTGAAACCATTTTGCCAAAGCTGTTGCCTTGACCAAGGTAGGAGGCCAGCTAAGATGTCCTGAGTGAGACTTTTTTTACTTTAATAATTTATTTTTAATATATTGTGTTTTTATGATTCATAAACTAACAGTTTCAAAAGTCTATGCAGTGAAGTCTGTCTTTACTCCTGTCCCCAGACACCTACCCTCTTTTCCCACCCAGAGGCAATCAGAGGTACTTGTACCTTACATATATATTCAATTAGGTACTTATTTAAAAAAAATGCAGTTCTATACCTTGCTTGTTTTTCATTTAGTAGGATATCTTGGAAATTTTTCCCTATCAGTATATAAAAGTCGTCTTTGTTTTTATAGCCATGTAATATTTCACTGTATGGATGTACCATAGCTTATTTAACCTATAACCTGCTGATGAGCATTTAGTTTGTTTCCTTATTTTGCTATGACACATTGTGCTGCATCGAATAACCTTGCAAGTACTTCATTTCGTGTGCATGTGAGTGTACATGAAGTGTTCCTTCTAGGAAGCTGGCTTGCTGGGTCAGTGGGAGCGTGCATTTGTAATTCTGCGAGGTATGGTGAAACTGCCTTCCATAGAAGTTGTATTGTGAGACCCCAACAGCAGGGTGTGAGGCTTCCCCATTGCCTCACCTACCCACAGCTACCGAAAATGCTTCTGATGTATGAAAAATGCATCTACACTCCAGGAGCGGGGGTGGGGCAGCTGGGATCCTTCTGAAGTCATAAACAGCAGGGCGTGTGTTTCCACAGACCCATGCGCTTTTTGCTCCAGGATTGTCTCACAGGTTGGGCAAGAGACATTGAGTCTTGTGTAAGGAGCTTCAGCATAAAGCGGGATGAGACGGGCTAGTGACATTGGTTACCATGTTCCATACCCTGTCTTTTTTAGTTGGGGTCTCTCTCCCAGTTCTAGCTTCTCAATAAGCATTGAAGGGCATCAAACATCTCTTCTGTCTCACCTGTTTGGAGCATGGGTCACTTGCTCAGTGACTGCTCTCTCTCAGGCCAGGACTCACGTGGCTCCGCTGTGTCAGCAATGATGCTAAGCTTGGCAAGGGCTCTCTGGCATACCACTCCATTTACCAGTGAAGGAGGGGGTTGGGGCCATCTCAGACATGGGCTGTGCTGAGACCCCCGCGGGACCTGTGGACTGTGGCTGGTGGCGTGGCTGGGCTAAGAACACCCATGCTGGCCGAGTGAGGATGCACTACTACTCATCAAAGAACTAGCTTCCTCTTTCTGGCTTCTCCTTTCTAAACAAAAATTAATAAGTAAATAAAAATAAAATATTAATCACTTCATTTTCTAGGGACTTCCTGAAAATAATGTAGCAGGTGGCATTTATGGGATTAGTCATTCTGGAACAATTTTCCTGGGACAGTGGGAGAGGTTTCTTTTGCAGCTGGGGAGGAAGTGCTTGCTTAGCCAGTGGGGCAGTGCTAGAGATTGCCAGTCTTCCTATAGGAGAAATGGAGACCTCTGAGGTAGCAGCCTCAGGCTCATCTCCCTTCATTTCGTGAGATGCAGCACATGGCCTGTGTTCCCAAGGGTAGCCTTCTGGGCAAGGACACAGGACAGGGATAACACTCAGGTACATTTCAAGGGGTAGTACATGCTACATGTCAGTAAGAAATGGTAGGATTCCTCTCCTTTGGCTTTTTGAAGCACAAATGAATTAATGTACGTGAAGGAGAAGCCTTCAGGCAGCTCCTGTGCGTTTAGAGAAAGGTTTGGTCTATCTTATCATGGTTTGAAAAATAGCCATGATAACCTTTTGGGGAGGCTTCTCTTCAAGGCATTGTCCTCCTCTCAGAGTTCTCAGGCTGATGTCAGAGAGTTGTGGTTTGTAACTTTTTGCTGGTCTTGGAGTCAGGTTGGAGTAGCCCTGAATGAAAGAAGACTGTCTGGCGTGATTCTCCCTGGGCCTGGCTGATGGCTACTAGCTAGGTCAAGGCACAGACAATGCTCCAGGCAGACTCCTGTACGTCATCGTGGGGCCTGTTTCTTCCTGCACAGTGGACCATGTCATCCTTCAGGAAGCCTACTTCCTACTTCCACTTACCTCTTGAAACTATTTGCTATTTTGCAGCTTTTCAGCCACACCTTAGTCCAGGTACCATCTTCTCTTACCTGGATGTCTGCTATAGCCTCTTCACTGTCTTCCTGCTCCAGTTAGTTCTCCAAACACCAGACAGGAGGACATGTTAAAGATGGGAATTTGATCATGTGATTGTATTTCTAAAAACTCTTTTGTACCATAAACCAACTAGACTTAGCAGACACATATAGAACAATCCATCCAACAACAGCAGGATACACTTTCTTCTCAAGTACACATGGAATATTTTCTAGGGTAGACCATATGTTAGGCCACAAAACAAGTCTTTATAAATTTAAAAAGATGAAAATCATATGAATTATCTTTTCTGATCATAGTAGAATGACGCTAGAAATCTATTACAGAAGAAGCACTGGAAAATGCATGAATATATGAAAATTAGCCAGTGGATCCAAGATGAAATCACAAGAGACATTAGAAAATACTTTGAGGTAAATGCAAATGAGAACACAATATACCAAAATTTATGAGATGCAGCAAAAGCAGAGCCCAGAGGGAAAATTGTAGCTATAAAAGCATACATTAAAAAAGAAGCTGGTGCCTATCTTGCAGAAATTATTCCAGAACATCAAGAAGAATGGAATCCTCCCCAACACCTTTTATGAAGCAAACATAACCCTGATACCAAAACCAGGAAAGGATGTGACAAAAAAAGAAAACTACAGACCAATATCCCTTATGAATATATAGATGCAAAAATTTTCAACAAAATCCTAGCTAACCGAATCCAGATGTTTATCAAGAAAATAATCCAACATGACCAAGTGGGCTTCATCCCAGGGATGCAGGGATGGTTCAACATATGTAAATCTATAAATGTAATTCACCACATAAACAGAAGCAAAAACAAAGACCATATGATTCTTTTAATAGATGCAGAAAAAGCTTTTGACAAAATTCAACACCCTTTCATGATAAGAACACTTAATAAAATAGGCATAGAAGGGACATACCTAAAGATGATACAAGCTACATACGACAGACCCATAGCCAACATCATACTGAATGGGGAAAATTGAAAGCATTCCCACTTAGAACTGGAACCAGGCAAGGTTGCCCACTATCTCCACTTCTATTCAACATAGTGCTAGAAGTCCTGGCTATAGCAATCAGACATGAAAGTAGAATCAAAGGTATCCAGATTGGGGCAGAAGAGATCAAACTTTCACTATTTGCTGATGATACATTATATTTAGAAAATCCCAAGGATTCAACCAAGAGACTCCTAGAATTGATAAATGAATTTAGTAAAGTCTCGGGATACAAAATCAATACACAGAAATCAGAGGCATTCATATACACCAACAACAATCAAATTGAGAACCAAATCAAAGACTCAATCCCTTCACAATAGCAACAAAGAAACTAAAGTACCTAGGAATATACTTAACTAAGGAGGTAAAATACCTCTACAGGGAGAACTATGAAACACTGAGTAAGGAAATAGCAGAGGATGTAAACAGATGGAAATCCATACCATGCTCGTGAGTCGGCAGAGTCAACATTATTAAAATGTCTATACTACCCAAACTGATCTACAGATTCAATGCAGTACCTATTAAAATCCCAACATCATTCTTCACAGATATAGAAAAAATAATTTTACACTTTGTTTGGAACCAGAGAAGACCCCACATATCAAAAGCAATTCTAGGCAATAAAAACAAAATGGGAGATATTAATATGCCAGATATCAAACTATACTACAAAGCTGTAGTAATTAAATCAATTTGGTATTGGCAAAAAAATAGGAATATTGACCAGTGGAACAGATCTGAGAATGCTGATATAAAACCATCCTCATATAGCCATCTAATCTTTGACAAAGCAGACAAAAACATACGCTGGGGAAAAGAATCCACTTTCAATAAATGGTGCTGGGAAAACTGGATAGCCACTTGTAGAAGGTTAAAACAGGACCCACACCTTTCACCTCTCACAAAAATCAACTCACGCTGGATAACAGACTTAAATCTCAGGTATGAAACCATTAGAATTCTAGAGGAAAATGTTGGAAACACTCTCCTAGACATCGGCCTAGGCAAAGAGTTTATGAAGAAGTCCCCAAAGGCAATCAAAGCAGCAACAAAAATAAATAAATGGGACATGATGAAACTACAAAGCTTCTGCACAGCCAAAGAAACAGTCATGAAAGTAAACAGACAACCTACAGAATGGGAGAAAATTTTTGCATCCTACGTATCCGATAAAGGGCTGATAACTAGAATATACTTAGAACTCACAAAAATCAGCAAGAAAAAATCAAATAACCCTATTAAAAAGTGGGCAAAGGACTTGAACAGAAACTTTTCTAAAGAAGACAGAAGAATGGCCAACAAACATATGAAAAAATGCTCATCATCTCTAATCATCAGGGAAATGCAAATCAAAACTACAATGAGATATCACTTAACTACAGTGAGAATGGCCTTTATCAAAAAATCTCCAAATAACAAATGCTGGCGTGGATGTGGAGAGAGAGG